TGGAGAAGAATGCGTTCCCGCATGGCCCTCCCCCCAGGGGGATGATTTCTTGCTTCCTGTTTCTCTGTCTCTGTCTCTCCAGGGAGCACATGTGCCCTATAGCAAAAATCTCTAAAAAACAAAAATAAAAACAATACACATTATCTATAAAATGTTCTTATCAAAAAATAATTTAATTGCAATTAGATCTATGTGAAAGTAGACACGACTACAGTTTTTAACCAATACAGAGGACTGAGGAAGATGGTAAATAACACCACCAGAATGCAGTTAGTAAAATCCAGACTATAGGAAAGAAATAATTTGGTTTCTTCCACAAATAAAGTTCAAATAAAGAGGAAGCAAGTTGAGAGAGTGTGTGTGTGTCTAAATGCAGTATGATATCCTAGATTGAATCTTGGGGCAGAAAAAGTACATTAGTGAAAAACTAGTAAATTCTCAATGAGGTTCATAATATTCGTAGTTATGTGTCAGGGCCAGGGCCAGGGCCAGGGCCAGCTGATGACATGGTGGTTAAGGGACTGGACTCCGAACATGGCTGACCACTGTTCAAGCCCCAGGCCCATTAGCTTGAAAATCATGCCAGGTTCACATGCATGTGCTCAAAATCTCAAGAGGAGAATGGAGGAGATAGGATTGCGGTGTGGCTATCCCCACTGGGGGGGCGATTTCTCACCTCCCCTCTCACTGTCTCTCTCCGACAAGTACAAATGCCCTGTAGCAAAAACCTATTTGCCCATCTCTGGGTGATTATAGGTAGTTTTCATTTTCTCCTCTACACTCTCCTAGAAATTTCAATGTTTCTACAGTGAGCATGAATTGTTTATATAATAATCATAGTGAAAAAATTATGAAAAATAAAATTTAAAAATTGGAAAATAATATGATTTGTTAAAAAATATATTTAAAATATTCGCAGTTTTCGTGCACGCATGAGAAACACTTCTGCTGTAATGCTCAGTAAAAAAAAGGATTTTTTCTTTTTTTGAAGACTTATTTAATTCCATTTGTTGTTGTTGTTGTTGTTATTTAATTTGACCAGAGAAAGATAAAGAGAACGGGGAAGTGAAAAGCACTGGGTCTCAAACAGCAGTTGGCCAGATGGGAATCCAGTGCCCCCAACTGCCACACCATCTGCCAGCCCCTCCTCAAAAAATATATCCATAGAAAAAATACTGAAATGCCCCGAATATAAGCACTGGTGAGATGAGTGATTTTTTCTTATCCTTCTCTGTAATTTCCTGCTTTGCCAAAAAGAGTATATATTTTGTGCTTTTCTTTTTTTTGCATTTACTTCTTTATTTTTTTATGATTTTCAAGCCACCAGGTCCAGGACTTGAACCGCAATTGGCCATGTGGGAATCCAGCACCTTAGTCACCATGTCATCCACTGGCCTGCTTTTTTCTTATGTGTTATCTTTTTTTTTTTAAAGAATTATTTTATTTAGCTTCATTCATGAATTCTTCATTCATTTATTTATTTAATTTGACCAGAGAGAGACAGAGCGAGAGAGCAAGAGAGAGAGACAAGAAAGTGAGAAAGTAAGCCACGAGGACTTGAACCACAGTAGGCCATGTGGGAGTCCAGTGGCCCTAACCACTACGCCACCTGCCAGCCCCCCTCTTTAACCCTCAGTGTTCTTGGTGACAGCAGTCATTACACCTGTCTGACATGAAATTACTGTCTTGCCTTATATCTGTGATCAAATCACGAGGCCACTGGGAATCTGCAACGAAGCTCGGCCAGCAGCCTGTAAGATTCCAGTCGTGGCACAATCTGCTGGACCTCAAAGTCAACTCAAAGACAATAACAGAAACCTTACCAAAAAGGACTCTGTCAATGGTTAAGAACAGCTCAGGGGACCAGCAGATGGCATAATGGTTATGTCACAGAACTCCCATGTAGTCGACCATGTCGAGTCCCGGATCTGGTAGCTTAAAACTCATGCAAGGCACAAGTGCGAGTGTGCCCGAGATCTCTAAAGGAGACGTGGCCATCCCCCCAGGAGGTGATTTCTCGCTTTCTTTCTCTCTCTGATGAGTGCATGCGCCTGATAGCAAAAACCTCTCAAAAAAAACCTGTCCCACTTGTCATATGTTTCCTTGAACACATTACTGTCATATTATTCAATAGCTGAGCAATCTGTAGGCCTTTTTCTTTTGTTTTCTCTATTCGTTTTGTTTGCAGTTTTTCATTTTTCTCTAATACAGGCATTGTCTGTGGACAGGCTCTGGGTGGTTGTGATCTCTTTCATGAAGGGTCCACCTGTACATCCACCTGCATGGAGGCTGGTCAGTTCCCCAATCAGGGCAAAGGTCAGGTGTGGAGACTGAGCCTCCATCCGCATCAGGAGGTATCTAACAGGGTAACCAGCCTCTTAACTGGACAGTAGGGAGCCCTTTCATCCCTAAAAGGTGATAATTCCTAACCTAACCCCCACGGGAGCTGGACTTCACCTCTACTTGGCAGTTGCAAGATACTCCTCCCTCAGTAATGAGGCCACCTCTGGCCATGGTATCAATGCGAGTGAGGTAGGAAACAGTAGTGAGGGACCAGCAGAAGGCGTAATGGTTACATCACTGTACTCCCACGTAGTCAACTGCAGTTCGAGTTCCAGACCCGGTGGCTTAAACTCACGCCGGGCACGTGTGCGTGTGTGCCCAAGATTCCGAGGAAGAATGGAGGAGAATGGATTGCAGCGTGGTCATCCCCCCTGGGGGGTGATTTCTCGCTTTCTGTCTCTCTGTCTCTCTCTGTCTGACTGGCTCCCACGTAGTCAACTGCAGTTCGAGTTCCAGACCCGGTGGCTTAAACTCACGCCGGGCACGTGTGCGTGTGTGCCCAAGATTCCGAGGAAGAATGGAGGAGAATGGATTGCAGCGTGGTCATCCCCCCTGGGGGGTGATTTCTCGCTTTCTGTCTCTCTGTCTCTCTCTGTCTGTCTGGTGAGCACACACACCCTATAGCAAAAACCTCTCCAAAAAAAAAAAAAAAGAATGTTAAAAACTATACATTATCGGGACCAGCAGATGGTGACGTCACTGGACTCCCACATGGCCAACTGCAATTCGAATCTCGGACCCAGCAGCTTGAAACTCACGTGGGGCACATGTGCGTGCATGGCCAAAATCCCAAGAGGAGAATGGACAAGAAGGAGCTGCGGCATGGCCATCCCCCCAGGGGGATGATTTCTTGCTTCCTGTTTCTCTGTCTCTGTCTCTCCAGGGAGCACATGTGCCCTATAGCAAAAATCTCTAAAAAACAAAAATAAAAACAATACACATTATCTATAAAATGTTCTTATCAAAAAATAATTTAATTGCAATTAGATCTATGTGAAAGTAGACACGACTACAGTTTTTAACCAATACAGAGGACTGAGGAAGATGGTAAATAACACCACCAGAATGCAGTTAGTAAAATCCAGACTATAGGAAAGAAATAATTTGGTTTCTTCCACAAATAAAGTTCAAATAAAGAGGAAGCAAGTTGAGAGAGTGTGTGTGTGTCTAAATGCAGTATGATATCCTAGATTGAATCTTGGGGCAGAAAAAGTACATTAGTGAAAAACTAGTAAATTCTCAATGAGGTTCATAATATTCGTAGTTATGTGTCAGGGCCAGGGCCAGGGCCAGGGCCAGCTGATGACATGGTGGTTAAGGGACTGGACTCCGAACATGGCTGACCACTGTTCAAGCCCCAGGCCCATTAGCTTGAAAATCATGCCAGGTTCACATGCATGTGCTCAAAATCTCAAGAGGAGAATGGAGGAGATAGGATTGCGGTGTGGCTATCCCCACTGGGGGGGCGATTTCTCACCTCCCCTCTCACTGTCTCTCTCCGACA